AAAGTTTGTTTTGTTAAGAGTGTTGTGCAACCCATTGGAAATATCCTAAGGGAATTCCAAATAAAAGATAATTCTTCATCAGATGCCTAGGTTTGACCACACATAATATTTGACCCATTTTTCTTTCTGGTCAAAAAAGGAAAGAAGGTTACCTTTGGCTAAATCAGAAGACAGAATTAAGAAACGCCGGAAATTAATTATGTCAGCCTAGCTGGCCTCTTTTTAAAAGGCGAGTTAGAAAAAGAGAAGGCAAAATTTTCCTCTGGCTTACACCCTTAGCCTAATTCCCATCATACAGTGATTTTGATCATTAAAGATATTTAATACAAACGCATGAGATGGTAAAATTACAGGCCACCTGTCAGTAACCCAGAAGAAAAGGCCTCCAAGGATGAAGTGTGAGTTAGCAACAGTGGGTCTTACAATCTTCTCGGGGAGGCCCTGAGGACAGAAGAACGCAAGGCCGGAGCCCAAGGCTCAGAACTGCACTGAGAAATAATGGCATAAGCAATGTCCACAGAATGTTTTCACTATGTACTTTGTGCAAGGACTGACAATAACAGTAATCCTAACCTACGTGGGATGCACTGTCCCCTGCAGTTAACTGCCCGCCTGCTACTTGTCTCTCACAACAGAGGGCCACTTAGGACATTTTCTCACACTTTTACAAAAGAGGAAATCACCCCGTTGGTGCTCGAGAAGCACTAAGGTCAGTTTCCCCGTAAGAACTGTATTCACATTTCCTTTCTGTGGACTTAGCAAATAAAAATGTGTGGAATTAAAGGCTTTTTTTTTTTTAAAACCTGGCTCCTGTTTTTCCCCAAACTGAAGGCTGGGTTTGGCCACCATGACTACCATTCCCTCTCTGCAAAACCATCATAAGTCTTCACTAGACTTGCATATGAATTTTTAATAAGACCTCAAATGTATTTATTGAATATCTGGAACTATTCCACATAAATATAACTTCTAAATGTAAGTAGAAAGAAGGGAAAAGAAATCATGTAGGTTATAGGGTTTTTTCTAGTAAGATTATTTCATTCGAATGAGATTTGTTCAAAAAATGTTTGCAAGGAAATTTATTTAATATGACTGAAATTGCAAGGAGTCCATTTTCATCCCAGTCTTTTGCTATGATAATACTGTGGATTTCCGTTATGCCAGGAAGAAGCATCTTTATGTTATAAAAGATAAAGTGTTTTTCATGCAATGTACAGACTTTGATCTGCATTTTATAAAATACACACACACACACACACACACACACACACACACACACACACCTTTGGGCCAGATTCTAATATAATTTCACAGGAAATTCCTATTGAGGTTGACTGAATTGCAATATAATTTGGAAGCAATTAAAGTTTAACACAGGAATTGTGCAGTAGAGTTATTCTGGAAATGAATCAGGCCCCCAAGGTATGAAGCAAGCATATTCAGGTCTTTGGAACAGCTCTAAGAAATTTCTTAAGTTCTACTGACTCACTAAAACTACAGTGTTCCAGTTGGGGAGTAAGAGCATTGCAAGGCAGTAGTTTATGCAGATCCACTTAAGTTTCAGAAATTGAAACGTTTCTTAAAACTCAATAGCATCATTTCCAAATGAGTATTCCTGTACGACTCAAAATATAAAACTTCTAGTGTGCCTTATTAAAATGTAATCTAAGTCTGATATGACACAAAAATTTCTAATTTAAAATCCTTTCTTCTGTATTGGTTTTATCTTTCTTAAAAAATGTATGAAGGGTCTCACCACCTCATCATCTCAGTGAGAGCCCATTAGGAGTTTCATGCCAGACACACAACTCTAAATACAGGAAAGGAACAGGAAAAAAGAGGAGACCGTTTCTGTGTGCATATCCTCAGGGGCTGCATTACATCATCAGTGTATAATGCCTCTTCCTTTTCATCATACCCTCTACTATGACCCAAGATAATATTCTGCATTAAATTAATAGAGGTTGCTTTTTAATCATGTCAATGTTTGCTATGTTAATATTTCCCACTAAATGTGGATAGTTCTAAGGAAAATGAACTATCCTCAAGATGGTTAAGTTTCAAGAGTCAAGAGTTAAGACATGAAAAGCATTAATCAGCACGTACAAATTAATTGCTTTTAATTAATTAATTCGAGAAATGGTGAAATAAAATTGCAGTTATTAACTCAATAAGTTAATGACTGATATGTCAACTTCATTTTCATTTTAAGAAACTTTAAATTATGGAAGTGCATGAGTCTACCCTTAATTACAATGTTGATATTTGACACAAATTTTTGAAAAATGTGCTTATTCAAGTGAAAATTCCAAAAGGGAACTGGCAGCCTAACAGTTTGAGTACTGCGCTACTCTAAATGACGGAGAATTACACCCAGAATGGCAATGTGAGGAGCCCCAGATCTGCTGCCCCCTGTAAACATCTATCACAGGGGAATAAAAAGAATTTTAAAGTGTCTGGAAATTCTCCTAAGGACATACAGCAAATAGGGAAACATTTACTGAAGAAGACCTCCTAAATCTCAGTAAGAACAGTGTATTTGGAACTTGAGCCACAAACCCACTTCTTCCCTTCCCCTCCCCTAAGTTGACATGATTAAATCTCCACTCTAGGTGGGTATGGCCAAGAAGATGGGACTCCCTTTCCCATCAGCCCCCAATCAAGGAATATTAAAAAGGCTGCAGAGGCTAAATCCCTGGGGCAACAACCAAGAGGTCATGAGCCTCTTCTTCCACACAGCCCCACTCAGAGAGCAGAGGTCCTACTACGTGCACATGGAATACAATCCAGGATAAACCATATACTAGGCCATAAAACAAGTCTCAGTAGATTTAAGAGGATTGAAATTATGCAAAGCATGTCCTCTGACCATGCAAGGAAAATATAAATCGATAACAGAAATCTGGGAATTCATCAATAGGTAGAAATTAAGCAACGTGTGCCTACATAACCACTGGGTCAAAGAAATCACAAGGCAAGTTAGAAAATACTTTGAGATGAATGAAAACAAAAATATAACATACCACACGTTATAGGATGCAGTTAAAGCAATGCTTAGAGGAAAATTCATAACTGTAAATGCCTGTATTACAAAAAGATCTCAAATCAATAGCCTACCCTTTCACATTATCATACCTGAAAAAGGACAAACGAACCTCAAAGCAAGCAGCAGGAAGGAAATAATAAAGAAAGGGTAGAACTGAATGAAATAGAGAACAGAAACATAGAGAAAACCAACAAAATCAGACGTCAGTTCTCTGAAAGGAGCAACACTATTGGCAAGCCTTCAGCTAAATGTACCGACAAAAAAAAGAGAAGGCTCAACTTATCTTACCTGACAAAACTTCTGAGAACAATATGACTTTACACAGGACCAGATCCCTTATTACCATGAGTCAGAGGTGATTCCAATGTAAGCCATGTGGAAAAGCACCTCCATTTGTCGCCCTTTTTCCTTTGTTAGGTCAACAAAATCTACCCTAAATGTCACAATCTTTGAAATGTATCATTTATCCCTAGTTAACTACCTCCTCCCACGCCGCTCCCCAAACATACGTACACTTCTGCTTTAGGAAGCTTCTTCCCCTATTTCAGGGTCTGCTGCGTACCTTTCCTTCCCCAGGCCACCATCAAAACAGGATAGATCTGAGAATAGTTATTTGCACTTTTGTTCATTGACAGATGACCCTTTCAAATTCATCTCTACAGAAGCATCACTGTCCAATAGCATTCACCTCTGACTCTGAGGTACTAGCTGCTGAAACAAGCGGTTTTCCACATTAAAGAATATTAAACTGCCACACAATCTAGTCAATGGATACCACACATTGAACCAAGTAGTTGATTTTAGTCTTTTGACTCAGAAAATATACAGCAAATAAATGATTCCTTAATTTTATATATAATATATATTTACGTATTAGGGAGGAAAAGGGAAAATATAGAAACTGGATACTACCTTGAAAGTCATTTGGATTCATTTTTGTTATGTTTACTTTGTATTCTTAAGGGACAGAAGGTTGGAGACTACAAGAAGCATCAGAAGTTGGGTCCAGGAACAGCCCCTGGTTGCTCAACCCAACCGGGCCAGGAGCAGAGAGGTGGGTGCCCGTGAACCTCCGTGCCAGGGCCTCTCCTCCAAGACAGGGTTGGGAGTTTGTCTTTTGATGTTGACCACAAAGGAGGCCACAACTGCAGTCAGTGTTTGGCAAGTGTGTGGTTTATCAGTTTTTTCTATAAGATATAAATGTTTAAATATGCCACTTTGTGTAGCCATGCTTTGCCATTGCTTCATTTCTGTATACACACGAGAAACCGTGGGAAGGAAGAATCCAGGGCTTGCCTCTGCCCCTCCGCGGCTCTGCCTCATGGTGCCCTGATGTGGACCTGGCAGCCACACATCCTGACCCTTCCCAGGACGCCACCTTCCTCACTCGGCTGCACTCTAGTGCTTCCTCTCCCTGCCCACGGCTCCACCCTACACCTTCCACACTCCATGTTCCCCGATACTCAACACATCTAAAATCTCTCAACACATGCTTATTCCACCTGGATTATTTCTATTTCTAGCATATATTTTGCATCACAGAATCCCTCCAAATCAGGACTATGTTTTTGAAGTTATTAGTTTTATGACAATAATTATGACAATAAACATTTATTAAGTACTTGCTTTGCACCAGGCACTCTACTGTTTCACATAAGTCATCTCATTCTGTCACACTTAACTATATATAAACATATGCTAAAATTTGCTAGTAACGCTTAAAATTAATTAAAATATACTGTTGGCCACCTTTGAAAGAAAAGTTTCAATATACTGAAGACATGAATTCACAGAATAAAATATTTTGAAGTCTTACAAAATGTACAACACTAAATTATTATAGAGGTGCTATTAAATTTATGTTTCTATCATGGAAAAGGAGCTATTCAAGGTACCTACTTTCTTTTTGTCTTAGAAACCACAGCTTCTAATATGTCAAATAAATATGATTAGATTCATATCTTCAAATAAATCCTTTTACTAAGACAGAAATATATAAAGTGAGTATGTTTTTGCATTAATTCCCAAACTGTTTTCCATAATAACAACCCAGCCTGACATCAGCTGTGGTGTGAGGGCTAGGAAATAACATGAGATATGATTTTTACTAATCCTTTACATTCCACTTTGAAGCTGTATGCTGTTTTTAATCAAAGCTCTTATTTTATTATCAAGACTTACATTATTCTCCAAAGGAGTGGATTTTCTGTTGGAGACAGGAAATGAAGGACTGCTAATGCTGGAAATGTATTTTTCCTGTCTCGACATTAGTACATGATATATATTCATATTAATAACAACTCTGAAAACTAGTTTCATTTCTTCTACATATAAGCAATAAACAGTGTGTGTAAAAAATATGAATACTACCAGCAGTGATATATAATATGGGGCTTCTTTTCAATGTACAGCCATTCCTAATATTTCATTAGAGCATGTGTACAGGCAACTGCCAGAGATGTCCATCAAAGCTGGGTTAGATGAAGACAAACAATGCAGGCTCTCAGGAAAAACCAAAGCTGCAGCTCAGACGTTTCCGTTCTCATCCTAGGGCACTATACCACCATTGTCTTCCTCCTTTATGCAAAAAAAAAAAGAGTCAATTATGTTACGGACATTACTCTACAGCAGACTGAAAAGTCTGTTACAGTCCAATGAGAGACACTAAAATCTAAAACAGGGGTGGGCAAACTTTTTGACTCGAGGGCCACAATGGGTTCTTAAACTGGACTGGAGGGCCAGAACAAAAGCATGGATGGAGTGTTTGTGTGAACTAATATAAATTCAAAGTAAACATCATTACATAAAAGGGTACGGTCTTTTTTTCTTTTTTAGTTTTATTCATTTCAAACGGGCCGGATCTGGCCCGCGGGCCATAGTTTGCCCACGGCTGATCTAAAACCTTTGTAAGAAAATGCAGACATTTCAAAATATCTTCATGCTCAAGTCTGTCACCTCTACAAATTTTCTGCAAAGTCTACCATAATTTTACTGGGGTGGCAGAACCTATTAATGCAAAATTTCATAGAAACAAGCACTTTACCCCCAAATAAATAAAGTAATGTTTGAACTGTTTTCTAAACAAAATTGTTTAATAATAATTAAACAATCATATATATAAGCATATATATATATATATATAAAAGCATAATATAAAAATTGACCAGACGGTGGAACAACTGGTTAACTATGATGTGCACTGACCACCAGGGAGCCGACACTCAACAGGCTCCGATTGCCCGACCTGCCAGCCAACCTCTCATTCCCTTCCCCCTGGCCAGCAGGCTCCGAACACCCAATGGAGAACAGGGAACCGGGGGGTGGGTGGTGGCGGACGTGGGCAGTGCCAGGGCCCCAATCACCCCACCGGTCACCCCCTGTGGTTGCCCCACACACAGAGAGCGACCTGTGGCCATGGCAGCAGGGGACTGGGCCAGCTGCCAGCAGCCAGGGAATATCGGCCCTGATCGCCGGCCAGGCCTAGGGACACTACTTGTGCGCGAATTTCGTGCACCGGGCCTCTAGTGTTTAATAAAATAAAGCTTCCAGCTATTGTCATTAATTTTATGTTTAATAATCACTTCTTCCTAGTTCCCAAATACCTTTACAATTCTATTAAGTACATGGATAAATAATAAATGGATAAATAAATCACTCTAATCATGCAAGGTCATGTCTTAATCCAAAGCATTTTAACGTTGAGCATACATCCATTAGAAGACACTAAAGATAATACCCTATGCTCACTGAGCTTTTCCTTCTCTATAGTTTTCAAAGAAAATGCCACCTCTCAAAGCAAGGAACTCTCATAGTGATCTTGATATGAGATCCCCCCAGAGACAGATGTTCGATCTTGTTCACTGCAGATACCATACTACCTGGGAAGATGTTTCAACTGATCTCAGTCTGGGGTATGAATCTGGAATCAGGAAGACCCAAGTTCAAATCCCAGCTCTACCACCAACCTGTTGTAAGGTTTTAGGCGATCTACCTGACCCTTCTGAGCCTCACGTAACAACATCTACCTCGTAGAGATTGTGTGAGAATGTATTATGAAAACAGATATAACGTGGCATCGCCTCCAAAGCCTATGACTGAACTACCAGTGACCATTTCAGTTGATTTTATAGACATCTCGCTAGCTGAAAACTGAACTGCCGCACTGGATGGTCTATTATTTTCCATAGCAGGTGTCTGAAATTAACTTTGCAGCATTTTAGAGAAAGTGTTCATGGGATGGAAGCACACGCGGTCTCATCTACGCTATGCTGGGTTCCTAAGGTCCCACACAATATCTGGCCCAAAGCAAACACTCCAAGAAAATTCGTATGTGTGAACAGTGTATACCTGTGTACAAACATTTTTAAAAATGTAACAAAATGAGAGTAGCAATTGTTCCTATTTATATTTATTTTCCTCAAAATTATACATGCACACAGTTTAGAAGGTTAGATAATTCTAAAAGGTTTCTTATGAAAACTATCAGTCACATCCCATATGCCACCAATTTCCTCCTCCTCAACCCTTTTAGCTGATTATTAACACCATAAAGCTAAGCAGCATGATTGCATTGCTCCATTCCAGTACTGTCTGTTGACCTTTCCTACGGAGAATGAAGATGTTCACTGCAGATACCATACTACCTGGGAAAATGCATGAATTTCCTCCTGTCAGACACCCCGCCCCCACCACCACACACATATCACCATTCCCTTTACCCCATTTTGCCAGTAATTTTGGCCAGTTCAATAGTCAGCTTCTAATATTGTGATGACATAAACAGTATTCAGAGCTGAGCTCTGTGTATTCATATATTAGTAGTTCTCCTTTCCTGCACAACCTTTTGTTTTCTCTGGAGTTAATTATCTTGGATTTTTTCCACCTTAACTTCCTATATACTCAGTTCAAAACTATTTACCAAATGCCTGACTCTCAGGAAGTTCAGACATCATGCAGTCTATCAATTTCATTGTCCTAAGGAAACTCTTCTAGAACCTTCTCCTCTGCTCACATCTGACTGAGACCCTCTCTGCCTACAACCTCAGGTCACCATCTTTCTGGCAATCTCCTTTGCCTTTCTTCTTTGTCTGATCTCCTGTTTCCTGAATCCCACATCTGTTTTCTTCGTTTACTCCCTTTTGGTGAAGCAGATTTTCCAGTGGTTTCCTGGGAAGTAAGTTTTTAGTGACTTTGATACCTGAAAAGGACTTTGAGAAGCCATTTCAAATTATCAAACGTTTGGGTAAGGAATTCTAAGTGGGGTGTAAATTCCCTCAAATTCTGAACATGCTTCCTTGACTTTTAGTTTCTAGAATGCTGTTGAGATGTTTGATATTCAAATTCCAGGTTCTTTGACCTTTTGACTTTTTTTTTTTTTCACTGTGATTTTTCCCTCAGCATCCAGAAATGTCACAATGATAGTGCCTTGGTGTGGATGTATTTTGATGTACCATACTGGAAATTCAGTGGGACCTTCATAATTTGTAAGTGTATGTCCATGAGTTCTGAGAAAATGTTTTGAATAATTTTGTTGCTAGTTCCTCTAATCCACTTTCTCTGGTCTCTCTCTACTTTACCTATTATTTGGATAATGGAGCTCCTAAATTGGTTCTCCAATTTTCTCATTTTATCCTCTCCTGTTTTGCTCTACTTTCTAAGAAATTTCTTCAATTCTGCCTTCTGTTTCTGCTATAAGATTTTTCATTTCTGCTTTCATGTTTTCAGTTTCTTTTTAAAAAAAATATATTTTATTTATTTTTTACAGAGAGGGAGAGGGATAGAATCAGAAACATCGATGAGAGAGAAGCATCGATCAGCTGCCTCCTGCACACCCCCTACTGGGGATGTGCCTGCAACCAAGGTACATGCCCCTGACCGGAATTGAACCTGAGACCCCTCAGTCCGCAGGCCGATGCTCTATCCACTGAGCCAAACCAGTCAGGGATGTTTTCAGTTTCTTTTTTTTTTTTTTTTTTTTTTTTTTTTTTTTTTTTTTTTTTTTTAAATATATTTTATTGATTTTTTACAGAGAGGAAGGGAGAGAGATAGAGAGTTAGAAACATCGATGAGAGAGAAACATCGATCAGCTGCCTCCTGCACATCTCCCACTGGGGATGTGCCCGCAACCCAGGTACATGCCCTTAACCGGAATCGAACCTGGGACCCTTCAGTCCGCAGGCCGACGCTCTATCCACTGAGCCAAACCGGTTTCGGCAGGGATGTTTTCAGTTTCTTAATCACATCCCATTCCTATGCCATGGTTGCAATTTCTTTCCTTCTCTCTCTGAAGATCTGAATGATTATCTTCTTGAAGTTTTCTCTTCGTAGGTATTTTTCTTATACCTTGCCTTCTTCTGTTCGTTGTGGACTCTTACATGTGATAGGATTTCTTCAAATATCCTTAACTGCTCATATCTAAGAAAGGGAACAACCACTGCTAGAAACCAGAATGGAGACTCCGAGCACACAGGGGGCCTTATCTGTTGTGTCTTCACCACAGGAGGAGCCAGCTGGGCTATAGTAGAGAAATCCCTGGGTGTCAGATTCTCCAGAAAGAACCTTCCGGCCACTTGTCTGGGTAGAGGCCTTTCTACCAATGCATTGGAGGGCAAGTGGGGGAAGAGGGGGATAGGAAGTATGAGGATGTCCCTTAATCACCCTCTCTTCACTGCGGTATCCTGACCCTGATCAATTATGCCTATGCCCCCTAACACTCTCTCTTCATCATCTCCAGAGGGTATCTCCAGGTACCCACCGAAGATTGGGAGAGGATTTGGAGATGTACGTGCTTCTTAAACAGCTTCTAACCAATGCAGATGATTTGAGCATCCTTTCACTCCAACTTCTAGTGGAATTGGTAACTGTTGTCACCAATTCTTGGGACTTTAAGAGTTTCTGTCATGTACACAGGCTTGCTCCTCACATCTGCTAAGCCCATTATCATACAAGCATCTGTTTCTAGCTTCCAAAATAATGTCACTGTTGTCTCCTCTTTTGTTTTGGCTATCCTTGTAGGTTTGTGCACTTTAAAAATATATTTCCTGTTATTTTACTGCAATTTGTGATGGAAGCAAAATTAACTGCCTATGTTTAATGGATCATCAGTGTTTAAAATAAAAGTTCCTTTTTATACGTTTGCATATTTTCTAAAGTTTCCACAATAACTGTATTCCTTGGTAATCAGTATATAAGGAAAGAAATGACACTATGAATATACAAAAGTGATCAGGCTGACTTTCTGCCCTTTGGGACTTCCTCCAAATACCCATTTATCTAGCTGTATATATAAAAGGCTAATATGCTAAGTGTCCCTCCACCCATCTGACTGGTCACTATGGCATGCACTGACCACCAGGGGGCAGACACTCAATGCAGGAGCTGCCGAGCTGCATTGACTTGGCAGCGAGGATTCTCAGGTGACAAACCCTGAAACCAGAGAGGAGGGAGCCCGATTCCTCGTGGGATTCCACCTTCAGCCATGGGTTCTGTTGTTGCTGGGGCACTGTCGGCCCCGAATATGGTTTATTGCACACTTGCATTTGCGTTCCACACCCGGTAGACAGCAACTTTGCAAAGTGCCCTCTTGCACTCCGGGACCCCTCGGGGGATGATGGAGAGCCGGTTTCAGCCCACTCCCCACAGGCCAGGCCGAGGGACCTCACCTGCCAGAGGGAACCCGCTCAATCCACAAAGGCTGGGGAGGGGCCGCGGGAGGTTGGCTCCAGGGCATGTCCGGCCTGTCTCGCCCAATCCCATCCCGCTGGCCACCATCTAATTAATTTCCTTTCAATGTGCACAAATCCATGCACTGGGTCACTAGTATATAAATAATAAAAAAAGCTGAACTATAAAAGGAAATGTTCTATTATACAGTGGTCATTGTCCGTAATGAGACCTTGAAGTATGACTGTATCTTAAGAAGTCTTCTAAATTATCAGCTATTTCAATATAATTATAACAGATGCTATCTTTCATGTGACTGTTTCAGAACCTTCAATTATCTTCTACAAGGAGACCCTTGGGAATGAGTGCAAATCAAATCACTATTGGAGAATTTCCTGAAAAGCTATCAAAAATAAGAAAGCACATGAGCACACATGGCCTTGTTCTCCAAGGCCACGGCAGGTTCCGGGCCTGATCTACATCCCAGTGAGTCTGGCTCAGCTCCTTGATCACACACTAACACAGCCCTCTTTAAGCAAGATAATTCAATGTAACATCTCCAAAATGGGATTCTTTTAAGAAATAGCTATATGCCAGCCATAAGGGCTTTCTCCTTCCGAATGGTCTCTTTCTCCTGTACACTAGTAGAACCCTATCTCAGGGCAGTTTCTATATGCTGCTCTGATTTGGAGTTGGCTGTATACCCGATTAACTTCCAATACTAGGCTATAAACTCCTTCAGGGAAAATCTATGTCTGACTATGTTTGTTTTCACATAGCCCCTTGAATACTGGCATACACAACACAGAAAGTTCAAGATAAATGTCCTTCCATTACAAGCAAAGGCACATAGCTACCTTCTTTACCAACATACCCACTAGTAACAAACAGTAAGTGGTCACGAGGAAGAAAAAGAGAGGAAGAAAGAGGTCAAGAACATCAGATGCTTTTGAAGATTTAAAGAGTGGGAAAAAATGCTTCTGGATTTGGGAAATAGAAATCCAAGCATATCAGAAATAAGAAAAGGGTACCAGACATCATTGTTAATTTATTGAACATTATTCTGAAAGTATTAGATGGTGCAATAAAATAGTAAGTATTAAAATTAGAAAGGAGGAGATAAAATTGTCATTGACAGATGTGATCACGGTCTATTTAGAAAACTCAAAACAATCAGCTAAAGTATTATTGGAAACTATAGAAAAGATTATGAGAAAACCAAGGACAGACTTAAGCAATTATTTTTTCAATGAAATAATATTAACCAATGTAAGAATATAATGGGAAATATCACTAATCAAAACTGATAGTAATAGCTCACATTTGTTGAGTGCTAGCCCTTGGCTAAGTACTGTCCTGAGCATTTTGCAAAGTTTCATTTAATCCTCACAACATCTTTAAAAGGTGTGACTCCCAGTGCCTCCAGTTCATGTATGAGGAAACTGAGGCTGAAAGAATATCAATGATTTGCACAAGTTGTGGAGCAGCAAGTGGACATGCTGTGTTCCTCATCAAGCAACACCCCAGGCTGACTCCAGAGCCCAAATGCACACATCCTGGGGTAAATTTAGTGAGAAGAGAAAACTATACAAGTATAAAGAACATAAAAAACTTTAATAAGCATACACCTGTGCATTGTTCCTTAACTAAGATTTAATAATGTAAAGATATCAATTCTCAAATTACTCTATATATTCAATGTGATCCAAATTAAAAATCCTAGCAAGATTCTTTTTTCCTTTCTTTTTCTCTTTTTCTTATATTCTTTATGTCAGTCTTTCTGATAAAGTGATCCTATATTTTTTCTGGAAGAATTAAACATGTGAAAATAGCCAGGAAAATTCTGTCAAAAAGATCAGTAAGGGACCTTATCCTACAAGACACTAAACTATGCATTCTTGCCACAAACATCCTGGTCGATGCTCATGAATAGACAGATTATGAAACAGAACAGGAAATTCAGGAATAAAATCAAGTATTCACAGGAATACTTAATATAATGCAGTAGTCATTTTTAATCAGATCGGCAAGAATAAAAAAAAATTGAAAATACTCAATGTTAACAAAGGCAAAGAGAAATAAATGTGTAGTTGGGCACATGGTTAGTGGGAACATAAGCTGATACAACTCTTGGGGAAGAGCAATTTGCATATATATACATATATATATTACAATTAACTCTCTGAGCCAGTAATATTATCACTAAGAATTTTTAAGGTAATAAATGCATAAATTAAACATAGTATTGTTGATTATAGCTAAATACTGGAAATGACATAAATGTATAATAATAGAGAAATAGCTCAATAAATTTTGTTACATATTAAAGGCAACTTAGTACAATCATTTAAAAGTATGCCATCTCTTCAATGGCATGAAAAGATGTATCATCAAGCAGCCGAAAGACATATGAAAACCTGCTCAAAGTCACTAATTATACGAGAGATGCAAATCAAAACGACAATGCGTTATCATCTTACACCTGTCAGAATGGCTATCATCAACAAATCAACAAACAACAAGTGTTGGAGAGGATGTGGAGAAAAAGGAACCCTTCTGCACTGCTGGTGGGAATGCAGACTGGTGCAGCCACTGTGGAGAACAGTATGGAGCTACCTCAGAAGACTAAAAATGGAACTCCCATTTGACCCAGTGATCCCACTACTAGGAATATATCCCAAGAAACCAGAAACGCCAATCAGAAAGGATATATGCACCCCTATGTTCATAGCAGCACAATTCACCATAGCTAAGATTTGGAAACAGCCTAAGTGCCCATCAGCAGATGAGTGGATTAGAAAACTGTGGTACATATACACAATGGAATACTACGCTGCGGTAAAAAAAAAGGAACTCTTGCCTTTTGCAACAGCATGGATGGAACTGGAGAGCATTATTCATGAAAAGATGTATCATCAAGCAATAGAAAACAGTCTGTATAACATAATACCATAAGAATCACTATATGTATGCATATCCATATGAAATATATGCCTAGGAGAGATCAAATGGACACAAATAATGTTAAAGGTAACATTTATCGAACACTTACACTATGAACCAAAACCATGTTAAGCAACTTTGATTACATTATCTCATCCTATCTTCACAACCACCCTATGAGGTAGACACTATGATGGTCTTCTTTTTAAGTGATGAAAAAAAGAGACTTAGAGATATTAGTAACTTTTTCAAGGTCACACAGCTAATTAGTGGTGGAGTCAGAATGGAACCCCAGCCGTCCCCCACGGTGCTAGAGCTCACCCATGTGCACCCGAACACCCGGCACTAGGGACAGCCATCCAGGGAGGAGGGTTTGAGAAACGCTGGCTCCCTCTTTCTTTTTATTCTGTATTGTTTGAATTTTCTTCCATGACCATGTATTATATGTGGAGATATGGGAATAAAGGGAAAAAAAGGAGAAAGAAATCAAAGGTGACTTTGCCACAGCCATTTCAATAGGTAGATGGAGATGAACACATTTCAAGAAAGTGAAGAGTAACAAGATGAGAGAGAGGGAAGAGGCATACAAAGGGACTGATACAGATAAATGGCAAAAACACCCTCTATAAAGGATTCAGTCAATGATGTAAGCAAAAAATTAATATAACCCTTTATAGGGGGGGTTAGCAATATGTTACCCCAAACAAAACCAGGCATGTCCTTTTCCCCCAGAAACCTCACTCCCAGGAACTTTTCTAAAAGAGAGAAGGAGGCACAGATAGAAAGGCCTTCATAATGTTCTGCCCTTTGCTATTTGAAATGGGGTGCAGGGGAAAGAGCTGAGGGTTTGCAGTTAAACCTACCTGGCTTTGCATCCTTGCTTTGCACTTTAATGGCTGTGACCTTGAGCAAGTTACTCAACCCCTCTCAGTCTGAGTTTCTTTATCTCTAAAATGAAAATAAACACACATACCTCACAGAATTGTTGTGAGGATTAAATTAGATGTGAAATACAACAGAATGTATGAAATATAAAACAGCATTTGTTTTTACCTTCCATCACTCACTAATATATATACCTTAGAATGAATGTATAAACTTCAATAAAACTCTAGGGTAAATCATATAGCTGGGTCATTTCCACACTTCTCTGCATCAAAGTATCCTAAAATATTAAACACTGTTAGCTTTTAAAGCAATTCAGAAGTAAACCTATGTTATGATACCTTGACACTTTCTCAATCTCAATTAGCACTAAACTAATTAACAAAGCTATTTTATACACTACAGTGCATCATATTTTTCTTCCTTCCTCCCTAATCCCTGGTGTGTTGTAAGGGTGATTGAGTATCTAATTACTTCTTAATTGAAGCACATATTATACATTTTTCACTAGTTCAAGCTTAATGCTTTTAGTCCAGAAATCAGATTCAAGGAAATTAAGTTGAATTGGGATTTGGGCAACTATTATAATGAAAGAAGGTTTGTAATATGTCTAATTATAAGTAAATGTGGATTTTAGCATTATTTCCTATGGAAATATTTCAAGTACAGGAATGTGCCATAAATGACTAACTTAGATGATTAATAACATTGTTATTCTTATTTACAATCTTTTATTCCTAATTACAGTGATTTTATTGCTGGGAACCACTAAATATAATCATTCTTTAAAGAAAAGATATTAGAGAACCGCTGGTTGTCCCCATACTGAAATCAGAATGAACATTCATATCTGTGAAAAATTATGAGTTTCTCTGCAGCATAAAGGTTACAGGACTTCACGCATGCTGCAAAAAGAAAAAGAAACATAAATCTTGGGATACTTGGAATCTAACCCATTACATTAATAAAAGATATTTATTTACAGCAAACCATAAAAATATTACTATCAGAATGGCATTCCAATTTAGTTAATACTTTACAGATAATATTTCTTGTGGGGGTTTTTTCTCATCGAATTAGGCAGCCGTAAAAAACTCTGAAGTAGGTATTCTCAGACAACACGGGTTTGTTTGCCTGTTTCCAGATAAGGGGAGCAACCACCTGGAATAATTTGGTTGAAGACCACTTTGGGCAGAAGACTAGATTAAAAAACTTTTTGAGATCCAATTCAACGCCATGCTTCTAAGATGTCCTGGAAAATATTTTATGCAGACCAGGCCTAAAGGCCTTTCTGAGTTTGTGAAGAATTCTGAAATTTTGAAAGAGTTTAAAGCACTGTAATCGAAAATGAAAATGTAGCAATTCATTTATTTGAGAATGTGTTGTCTAGTGGCAACTTGATTAGGGAAACCTCCATATTATTTAATAAATATTTAGGATTTTGTCCAGGACATTGGGCATTGTCTAGATTATTGTTTTGTTAAAAGTTTTAACTAGAATATTTTTTTAATTAAAACTGAAGTAGCCAAAAGAACAAGGCAAACCTGTTTGTATTAACATAGAAATATCTCCAAGATAAATGAGCAAAATTTTTGTGTTGCTTTTTTTTTATATTTTAAAAGACATTGTCTCACACCTTTGTGAGAGTGATGTCAATATCCACCTTTCCTCTAATGCGGCTTCTTCTCTAACTTACAGGAGATGGCTCCCAACCCTAACAAAAAGGAAGTGCCCGTACACTATCAGTCCATGTTCACTTCCATGCAGAGATTTCACATATCCCAGGTTGTGCTATATGTAAGCAGCTTGCTAGCATAATCAGCAGGACCTTAACTATCACATAATGAAATGAAAATATTAACAAGGAAGTAGAGAACTTCATAATTTCACCATGTTTCTGTATTTCCTTGTAATTGCTAGCACCAAGCTACATATTGGTAGATCTAATGCAGATCAATTTTCCAACACCCATTTAAAAGACTGCACCTTAAAAGCTAAGACATTTAAATCAGATGCCCACAATACTATAGTTCATGTGGACGGCAATAACAAACCACAATACCACCACCATTCGTATGGCAAATGGTGACAATTAGTTATGTCACTGTGTTCCACTGTGCTCAGGTGTGGATTCAGAATCCTACTCAACACCCTTGTGCCAATCCCTCAAGAGTTGGCACGCACGTTTGAGTGTTGTGTCATCGATGTCTGTTATTTTTATAAATCTTTCTCGAACAATCCTATGTAGAAGAGAGGAAGAACGCCCTTGCAACAGTCTAGGTGAGAGATGAAGCTAACTTTATGGGTTGTGATAGATACATTTGGAGCTATCAGAAGGAAAATCTAAAATTGGATGATACATGGAAAGGTGAGGTGAGGTGAGGAAGAGGAGTGTCAAGTCTGACTCATGTTTCTAGGAAAACTTGGAGAGCCAAGTCTATGAAGAAACATCATAAATTCAATCTCGTGTATGTTGAGTTGGAGATGCCTTTGACACACCCAAAAGAAAAGTCAGACTGACAGTCAGGCACTCAATTCTAGAACTTCACAGAGAGACCTGGTGCAGGAATATAAAGGAGTGCTATCTGTGTTTAGTGGCAACTGAAGCTGTGGGTGTCGGTGGGTCAGCCACGGAGAGAGCAGGCCATGAGGCTGAGCGGCGAGGACTCCGGCAGGAAGTGAGTGCCGGGGTTTTACAGTTCCCCAGTTCTATGCCGCCTCTGCTTCCCTAAACCTCTGTGACCTTTATCACAGGAAAGAGACCTAGAGAGAATAGACAAGATACAAAGGAGAAAGAAACTGACATGAATACCTCTCTATAAGGTTTCCATAAGTCGCAAAGTGGAAAAACAAAGCTAAAATTTTGATTTGAGGAAATTACCAAAAATGAGCATCCATGAGATGAAAGGCAAAACAGAACAAGTTTAGAGGCGATAACCTGTTCTCAGTGATTTTCTTATGGAAAATATATCCTTCAGGTTTAAAATCAAAAAATCGATTTAAGGTATCAGAATATATTAATGTTCAACATACAAGTTGGCCCATGACTGCAAAATGGCCTCTTTTCTTCTGCCCAAACACAATTTTGTTTGAATTCATGGGGGAAGAGGGGCATTAAATTATTCTGGAATTGTTATGCACAATAAATAATTAACATTTCTAAAACATACAAAAGGGGAAAAGGCACTGGCCAGTGTAACTCGGTTGGGCGTCGTCCCATCACCAAACAGTTTCTGGTTTGATTCCCAGTCAGGGCACATGCCGGGGTTGCCAGCTTGATCTGAGGTGGGGGGCGTGCAGGAGGCAGCAGCTCTCACATCTATGTTTCTCTCTTCTCCCTTCATTTTCTCTAAAAATCAATAAACTGTTCTTTAAAAAGGGGAGGAGGACAAATATGGAAGCAGGGAATATTCTCTTTGTTTAATAATTTTGAAGAAATGCCTATACAGTTTTGATATGTTCAGTCTTGGGTTAATAACAATTTTATATCACATAATCAAAACACAATAGATAGGCTGAACACCCTTGGTATTAGGGCCTCTTCCTGAAATCATTTGGAAACCCTTTAGGAAATTCATTCCATTTTCAAGAAGTTCTATATGATACAGTAAATAGAAAACAGCAATACCCATCGAGCTTTCATCCCTCACCCTAATGCTGTGCATCATGTTTAACTATTAGATTGAGGAGAGTCCGGGTTCTATTGACTAAAAGCATGGCTCTGAGCTTTCCATTTATCCAGAAAGCATAATAGCAGCTTTTACCTAAGTGGTCATTCCAAGTTGACATTCTCTCTTTCCCCACATAGCCCCTCCTTTCCTATAATGCCTTATCCTTTTCTCCCCTATAGCTCTTTTAGGTTACAAAAGAAAACCGATATGGAATTGATGCTAGCTATAGCTTCATTAACACTCAAAAGACAACATTATCAATTGCAAAAGTATACGTGGAGAAGAATTCAACACAGCCGAGGGTGACTACAAAGACCCAGAAAGAATCATAAGGGCAAGTCTGACAAAGCAACTGTTCAGAGAAGGTTGCTTAATCACCCCTCTTTTTTCTTCTACATTTTTTTGGGCATTTTTAAAAATCTATTTGGGGCATACTTACATTTCCCCCTTTTAAGATAGGGAAAAAAAGGAAATATTTAAAGAGCTTTGTGGTATTCCTTTTTACAGAAAATAAATTAAATAATTATAATTAATTATAGTTACTGTAAGCATGTGTGCAGTTTAACAATACCTGAGTCACAGGGGAAATAGATAAGACTAAACAGTAAGAACAGCCTTTTTAAAATGGGATAATACTCAATGAAAGAAATAGGCAAATAATCATTTCATTGATAGATTAGTACCAATATTATGACACCAAGAGCAACAAAGAAACTGGGCCTAATGCTTGGCCATATTTTTTGTTTGTTGTTATTAAGTTTTGATATTTCCAGTCTTTCTATAGAAAACTCAATAGGTAAAGAACTATTTAATGTCAACTGGCTCCCAGAAATCTGAACTAGCAATGCACCTGGGTGAGTTATATGCTAACTCTCTATACAAGTACAAAATCAGAGTTCTTACTTCTGAAATGGTAATATAAAGAGTTACAGATTATTCATGGGAATAATAAGTCTTGGTTATCAAAGCCTTGCAGATGTCTAGACATGTCATGCAAAAAAAAATGCCATTTTAAGTCCCAAAACTAAAGTTATTTTAGTAAAACATAGCTAAAATAAATCTAAATTATTTGAAACATTTTTTAGAGAACTACCAGGAAAAAAGTGTGGTCTTTTTTTTTTCTTTTCAGTTCCAAGAGCTTAAATGAAACATTCATGCATTAAATTCAAAGTCTGACTGTCAAATCATTTCACTTTAATAAAAATTTGAATTACTGCCTTAGGGCATTATTAAATATCAACTAAAAGCACACATCCATAAGTCTGATTTCCCAATATAATTTTTATGTAGAACTATAACTAGATTTGTATAACATATTTCAAGATAAAAGGATCAAAAATGTATTCATAAAAAGATGAAGTCAGAATTGGGGTCGCCTTTGAAAGAATTCCTGCACCATTATTAGGAATTTCTGGAAAAATGACCTCCTTTAAGTAATCTCAGCCTCCAAAAAAAAGGACATGAATCCATCCTCCTTTTCAAAATACCTAAATTGTAATTGACTTAAGACTTTCAAAATTATATATTACCTTCCTATCATACAGTGAATATGAAGTATCTGAAATATACATAACCTCATTAACATTAAAGTCTTGTGCTGTGTGTGTATAAGAGAGCTAAAACAGTGATGGTTACTTAGATATTTTAGAGAGGCACCTCTGGTCTAGGATGATATAGATCAAAAATTCAAGATAACCTTATTTCATTAAAAAGGGTCATTTATAGTTACTGGTAATCACAAACAGTATATTAAGCCTAGGCTGCAGAAAGTCATAAATTCATGTTGAACAAACCTCATCACACCTCACTTCCTGCCCCTCTTACTGGGTGGCTCCTGTGAGCCCACCCTTGCACCCTTCTCCTGCTCCAATCTCCCATCCTCCCTGCTGCTCTGGCCCCTCCTGGCTGCTACCCCATTCTCCCTTAAATAATAAAAGCAAGTCACAAAGTCTATAAATCACCACCTCTTCTTTCTTCCTATTACAGCACATGAAGAGTCCGTTCTCTTACAAAAGTCAATCTACAAATCTGCTTAGGATTTCATCCCCTTTCAACTTTTCAGACACTTCACAGCTAGGATTCCCCTCTGAGAGACAGCATCTTCAGCCCCTCCATCCGCTGGCTCACCCTCCTCAGCATAAAGAAAAGTTCCAGTATTTCTTTTGTTTTAAAAAAAAAAGAAGTCTCATTCTCACCACAATAAAAGAAATGATATATATGTGACACTGTTAGCCAATGCTACAATGGTAATCACACTGTAATATGTAAGTGAATCAAGTCAACGCCATGTACACCTTAAACTTACACAATGTTATATGTCAAGTATATGTCAATTTTTTTAAAGTCTCCTTCAATCTCATCCCCTCTCTGCTGCTGCAGCCTCTGTCATCACATAGCATCTCTGCCTCCTCTCTTGACGCTCAACTTTGTCCCGTGGCAACACGCATTGCTCAGCATCCTCCACCCAGACAGCCAAAGTGGGGACACTCTGACCTCTGTTCAGCTGTCTGGGTCCCACTTCCAGTTCCGCGGAACAACTGCATTACTTTGGGCAACTGACCTAACTTCTCTGCGCTTTGGTTAATGTACCTGTAAAGACTCAAAGATTGTATGAACATTTAATGAATTAATGCCTATGCAGCATTAGAACATTATACATATATATTTAATCGCTATGCCAACAACCCCCATATTCAGTTTAGGCCTTTTCTCTGATCTCCACTCTCAAAATTCCAGCTACCTTCATGGTGGATCCACTATTGGTGAGTGACAGGCATCTGTCATTCAACATGCACCAACTCAGCTCTCTTTGGGAGGGTGGCGGGGAGTGGAACCTGCCTAAAACTTTTTTATTGTTTACTACCCCTTTAAAGCTACAGAAAAATCTGCACCTAGATAAGACGCATAATAAAAATTCCCTCATCCACATAGCCAAGGTCTCCATCAGATTCCTCGGTGAGTATGTGGTACATCACATTCTACTCCACAGATGCATTTTCTTGTGAGTCTGTGGGGTTATGATCAATTCTTTCTGGAAATATTAGTTTCTCACTAACTGCCTCCTTGATCGGTAAATACTGTGATATTCCATTAGGTTCCATGAAGAGGGAAGGTGAAACGTGGACTAAATTAGCAATTTTGCTCTCTCGTGATGTATATTTTCATAACGTGTAGGTCTTGTTGGCCTTGTGGTAAAGTCTCCTGTCATTCATCCTGATAAGCCCTCCATCAATTCACAAGAAAAACTGCAACAGCAGGAAAAAGTGGAAGGCATTACTTTAATTTTCATACTTAGACTTGAAACTCCATGATCGTGAAGTTCATCCTCAAACAAGGGAACTTCTGCAAAAAACTTAATCTGCTCTCTGGCTTTCAACTGCACTGTATCTATATGATTTACCTTTAACTTGAGTGATTCTCCATGTAATGTTCCTTTATAATCTATTGCATAGGTTCAATCGGAGGGTTTAATAACCTCCCTGGAATGTTCACCCTCCATCCAGGCTACTTGAAGCTTCTTTGGCAGTTGTTTACACATCTTAAAACATCTGTAGTATTGACTCAATCCCAAAGCAGAAACATGCTGCTTTCTTAAAACGTTGTCACCAAACATCATTCCGGGGGTAGATGGCACATGCAATTCATCAGCTAACTTCTCCACCTCTGCCAACTTCATGATGTGGGTCTTGGCTGCCGTAAGCTTCCAGGGCCCAAAGAAGTCCCAGTGGTTGATCTGGAAGCCAGGGATCATCACGGTAAAGACGGTGCCCACATGGGCCACGTGGAACAGGCTGGAGCAGTGGTGGCAGCAGATTAGGGTTCCCCTACCTCACTATGACCCAGCCCCCGGGGCTTCCAAGCTATTACCATCCCAACTCAACTCTTTATCTTCCTTTCTATCCCAAACAGAGACTCCTCCAGCTTTCCTGTTATCACTCAATTACACTCTATCCACACAAAACTTATCTTTGATATTTCCACCCCCTTCTACCTCATCCAATCTGTCACTAGCTATCACCTTCAAGGTCTGACTCACATACATGAATGTCTCTCTCCTTCCACTGCTCCTTGTCAGAATCCGAGCCTCCATGTCTTTCACCTTGGCCACCCAGCTGACTTCTGCAAGTCCCTCCACTATAATCTAGTGCATTCGATCTTCAGTCCCTGTGATCTACTGAAAACATACATGGGATCAGGGCACTCCCCTGAGTAAAAGTCAGTATAAGTTCTCAAGGCATCAACAATAAAATAAAGATGCTTACACATGGCTGGCAGGCCCTCCTAGAATGGGCCCTGCCTAACTTCCCGCTTTGATTTCTATCCTCAAGCTCATAGGGTCTTCCTTCAGGTACCCCAGTGCATTAAATTTTTTTTTTTTAAATATATTTTATTGACTCTTCACAGAGAGGAAGGGAGAGAGATAGAGAGCTAGAAACATCGACGAGAGAGAAACACCGACCAGCTGCCTCCTGCACATCCCCCACTGGGGAGGTGCCCGCAACCCAGGTACATGCCCTTGACCGGAATCGAACCCGGGACCCCTCAGTCCGCAAGCCGACGCTCTATCCACTGAGCCAAACCGGCCTTGGCACCCCAGTGCATTAAATTTTTACCTCCTCCACAAGGAGTAGCCCCTTGGGACCTTTCCAAAAGATATTCCCACTATCAGAAATCTCCATCGCTACATTTCTTTGTTCTCATTCATGGAGTTACTACAAGTTGCTTCTCATTCCTACCAAAGGCAACGTGCCTGGTCATCAACTTCAAAACTAGGAGGGTGAAAGGCACTGTAGTTTCTAACACAGAAACTGAGAATGAATGAATGACTGGAATATGGGATTTTATAGTGCTAAGGAACTTCTAATTTGCCCGGACATTCAAGATACAAAGTGTTATGTGTCATGAGGGATTCAAAGTAAAATAAACATGTTTCAATCCTCAAGAAATTTGAAATCTAACAAAAAAAAATAAGAAATACACAAAGTTAAATGGGAGAAATAATGTGAAAGGAGAGGTACAATTTAGAGGAGAAGCAGAGAATTTCTGCTGAGAGTGGTATTTGAGTTGGGCCTAGAGGGTAGCAAGGATTTCAATAGGCAAAAGGCGGGACGGGAAGGACTGAGTGAGCAAAGCACAATCACAGATGTAAACAGACAGTTTGGCTGGAGTACTGGGTACATACAGTGTAGTAATAATAGAGAGGCACGGAGACTGGATTGGGAAACACATGGACAAACGATCATCACCTTTTGCAATTCCTGCTCATGAGACTGTGAGCTCCTGGACGCCAGAGATTTCTACTCATTGTACCGCTCGCCTAATGTGTGACTATCTACTCCCAATGGTCCAATAAACAGTGAAAGCTCTGTCCTGCTTACCTAGAAAACTATTTCCACAGATACGACTCTCTTATGGGAAGCAGTGGCTTGCCGGCCATGTGCTGACCTATTACACACTCAGGCAATTTACAAGGTAAAGAAATAATGCAGTGTACAGTCATTTTTGTAGACTTTATCTTTCCCATGTTTATGATGTTTTATTTTGTTAGCTAATATAAGGAATCCATATATTGAATTTAATATATGAAAATATATATATTATGTTTTAATCAATCAAAAAATACCATATTCTGATTATTAACCAGTGCTTCTTAATTATCAAATAATAGCACTTCCATAGGACAAGTATTTTCATTCATGACAGATCTGCCATCTCCTACCCCAAAAACAATACAATCAAATCTGTGTCAGACAATGAGGATCAGTTTTGAAGCTCACACACTCCTCCAGTCCCTTCCTTCACGGTCCTCCATCATGAGGCAGTGACTGCTGAAGCTTCAGGGGTTCAACACAGTACAGTACAGTACTAAAGGGGTGCTTGCATATCCCTGTTTCTCTGTCCTTAGGAGAAGCTGTATTAAAGCAACATTTGGAATGAAAGGCTGCTCTAGTGGGAAAATCTGAGGATTGCCGATTCTTTTCAACAATGCATGAAATTTTTCTTAAAGCCACCTCACTTCTAAATTAACAGGGCTTGAGAATGTGTCATAAATTTTATCAAAATAAAATTCATATTGCTGAATTATCAGGATCACCACGAGAGTACCTCTGGTCTGGTAGGTTTACACAACCATGTGCCCACGTCCTTACTTAACCTGCACATACCGGAGGAAGCCGGGCTTGTTCCTGTTCCCTTTGGCTACTGAAATGCAGCTCTGATGACTCTGTCACTAAGTGGCTGCGTGGGTCTAAAATTGTCTCCCAAAATCCCATCACAGCCTTCCACGAGTTCTGCCCCCTTCACATGTGTCCTCAGCCTGCGGAATTCTTCAATCTGAAAATAAAAGCGGAACAATATAGATTAATCCTTTACCAGACATTAACAAGAGTGACTTAAAATATGCATACGTTGCTACTTTTTTTAAAGTAGTATCTGTATTTATATAAAGATGCCAGTCAGATGAGCAATTGGTTGTTTAATCTACATAATGTCACTAGACCTTCTCAGGGTCTTCAAGTAGAGATATGAGTGGCAATTACCGCAGGCCACGTCTGGGAGGTTTCTGGAGCTGAGGCTGCATGAGAATCCCCTGTACTTACTTGTGGAATGTATTTCACTCAGTTTTCCCTAGGGGAAGAGTGGGAAGGTACCCTGGTCAGTGAGAGGATCCTATGCTTTTTCAAAAAGAAGATTATGAAGGTGAAGGCAGTGGGCTCATCATCAAAAGGCCGGTTCTCATCCTGGCTCTGCCACCTAAGACCCCAACAACCAAATCACGTCACCTCTTTAAGCCTCAGTTTCCACATGTGTACGAGGGAGATGAAATGACAGTATGGGCAAAGATGGTGTTAGAAGTAAATAGAATATTTCATGCAAAGTATTCAGCATAGTGTCCAAGCACATGGTATTTGATATCTACTAGGCAACTTCTTTGGAAGTCAAACCTTTAGCATTTTGGATAAATATTTAACTCCAATTTTATATGCAGAAAGTAGACTGAAAACAATAAACCAGTTGACTGAGAAAATGGAAAATCATCCTCCTCGCATTCAGTTTCCATGGAACCATATGTCATAGCTGCCACCAGAACCTGTAACCTTAGGCAGGGTCCCCGATGAGCAACGTGGACTAGAAACTTGACGGCTTCAATGTATTTTAAGAAATTCTCCACTTTCATTGGCTTTGAAGCTTATTTTAAAAGCAAGGTTAACTTTATATTTACGTATTGTGAACTGAAGATAAACCTTTCAAGCTCCAGGCCTCCCCTGCACACCTTCAGTGAGAACAGCTTCTAGACGAGATGATCTGAATCAACAGCGAGCCAGTCTCAGACCACTGTGTTCTTGGAGAGAGCTATTTCACAAGAAATGCTTTTCTCTGATCATAGCAACACTTTGAAGACTTCAAACATCGACAGAGAAAAACACGTCTTTCTGAAATGCCAATGTTTCTGAAGTAACCACCCCTCAAACCCTTTAGTCACTTCAAATGGTTTCAAGTGCATACTGCGTTATCCCACGCTGAAATGAGAGATAGTGAGAAATTAAAAAAATAGTATCCCAGGATAAAAGTCTTCAACACAATTCAAATGTCAGGCAGTAGAGAGACTATCATTATCATATATATCCGTATGCGTGATTTCGTTGATTTTTAATGCTACTCTACTTGAGCATGGCATTTGTTTTTAAACAATGCAAAAGAGGGATCCCACTCTTCAGGGACAAATCCTCATCTTCTGAAGGCAGCAGCGCTGAATATTCACTGTTCTCTGAACCTGGGTGGCACTCCAATTGATCTAAGACATTTATTCCAACCTTCACTGACTCATGAGCCAACCAGGCTATTCACTCACAGTTCAACTGTTAAGCTGCTTTCTTTGTGAGTGCATTTAAAGGGCTAATGTCCAGGGTTTGAGGTTTGGCACTAATTATTTTCAGGAGTTCCCACGATCCTATGTACATCCTCTAACTGACTTATTGGGACTTACATATCATTGGTTATCATGTTAAAAGAGAAAACTAACACATAAAAGTTGGCGTTCTCATCTTATTTTCTTTTATCATCAGACTATGGTGATATGTGAATTCGAATAATATAATTCCTTACGGTAGCAATCAAATAAAAAAGCCGAAAGCAAACTGTACTGAAACAGTCTACATGTATGCACACAGAGTGAGATTGTATGTAGCTATCCACCTTTCAGGTACTGCAGCCTTGCTGTTTTTGCTTGTTTCATTTTCTTCTACCCCATCTGTCAAGTCATCGCTTTCCCTTTCGCGTACTAACCTCACATCCATACACCAACCCTCATTCCATCACTTACTCTTTAATCTGATCTTTTTCTTGTTTGAGGAAGAGCTCAGAGCCCGTCCTTTCCCCAGAACATTGATGGAAACTGTGTTCTTACTCCAACCCCGAGTCTGGTCTCGGCCACACGATCCTCACTTTAGGATCGTGACTGATAAGCCACACATACTGAAACTTACTCAGAAATTACACATTTACAGAGTATATAACCACAGGGGATGTGCTCTCTATCATGAAAGACACTCAGGAAATATATACAAAATTTCCCGCAAGTGCCTAAAAATAGTGCATTTTAAGAAAGGAAAGAGGGAGTCTCAGAGGAGAGAGAAAGTCCTAGAATTGGACTGTCCAACACAGTGGCCACCTGCCCCATGTGGCCACTGAGCATTTGAAATGCCACTAGTCTAAGCTGAGATCTGCTGAAGTGCAGAATACTCTGAAAGTCAGTGTGAAAAAAGAATGCAAAAAATCATATCCGTGATTTTTTAATATTGATTACATGTTAAAATGATACTTTGGATAAATTGTGTTCAAATAGACTACCTGAATTAATTTCACCTTTTATTTTGACTTTTTTTTTACTGTGGCTACTAGACATTTTAATCTAGTAGTTGGCTCATATCATGTTTCCATTGGACAGGGCTGGCCTAGTGCCAGCTGTCAGAAACGGCATTCTGGTGCTGGAGTGCTGGTCGAAATTACAGCTGGAGATAACTGCCGGTAGATAAAAAACAGTGGTTCCCAAAGTGTGCTTCCTGGAATAAGTTCCTGCCCAGACCTCCTGAGCCAGCAAATCTGGAGACAGGCCCAGCAACCTCCAGGAGACTGTTTGAGAATCACGGATACAGGCAACCATTTACAACAATCGTTCCAAAGCACTTGAACTCATTTTCAAACATGACCATGCTGTGGCCCTGCAACAACTTGGTTTTAGGGTTAACAGCCCCTCAAATCCCATGAGGAACACAAGAACAAGAAAGGCCTGCTGAGGAGTCCTGGGCGTAATTAGACCTTCTCAGCCATCCAGGGCCAGGTGTGCTCCCAGGCCCCAGGCCAGGCACACACCATGCCTTCAATCCACAGGAAAGAGGGAATGGGGCAGGATGAAGAGGAGGCAAGATGAAAAGAAACAAAATTGAAAATGGTTTTCCAAGTTCTAACAGACATAGATCCACACAGTGAAAAACAATGGACATAATCCATTATCTTTTGTTTCATTGGTGTTATTTGATGTAGAAAGGGACAGGAAATAACAAAGACAGACTTGAGGTGATAGGTAAGTTAAGAAATAGAAGTAGATTAGTCGGGGGGGGGGGAATGCAGGAAAAAGGGGGGAAACAGGAAGAAGAGAGTAATACTTAATGATCAATCCGTGTCTATGCACGTGTGTGCGTTTAAGTGTGTGCACATACTTGTACATATGCTATTATATCAAAATACCACATTTTATTAATTCTGAGTATTGTTCATATTTTAATGGCTCTATGTCTTACAATTTCTGGTGTTGGATCCAATGACATTAGTATGTTCATGGAATCTCAGTTCCAAACATAACAATAAAGCTGAAAAAAAAATTTTTTTACTTTGGCTTCCTAACGCTTAGAACACTGTTTTGCTTAAAGTCATTTAGTAGTGATTGATCATTAAAAAAAAAGAAAATTACAGCCCTAGCCGGTTTGGCTCAATGGATAGAGCGTCAGCCTGCGGACTCAAGGGTCCCGGGTTCGATACCAGTCAAGGGCATGTACCTTGGTTGCGGGCACATCCCCACTGGGGGGTATGCAGGAGGCAGCTGATCAATGTTTCTCTCTCATCAATGTTTCTAACTCTCTATCCCTCTCCCTTCCTCTCTGTAAAAAATCAATAAAATATATTTAAAAAAAAAGAAAATTACACTCATTCAAATCCATCCAATTGTGTGTGTTTTCCTTAGCATTTGGTATGCTCACCAAGTATAATGTGAAAACTTCAACTAAGCAGGCACTTCCAGTTCCAGAGTCTAGACTCCCTGGTTCTCAGGAAGAGGGGATGTTCCACAATGGGTGCAATTGTCAGCCGTACACTTCAGCAGAAAACTCCTCCTTGCCTCCAGCTCAGCTGCTGTGCACTTCACAGGAGAGCATTATGACTTGGAGCTTGTCTCTTTAACCCTTTGAGTGACAACCAATATCCTAGGAACTACGCTAAAATTGCCAAGGCATTTTTGCTGATTTTACAACAGTTCAGGAAAAAAATTATGAATCGCAAGTAAATGAAGTTACATATTCAAAAACTTAATGAAACCTTTACTACATTTGTTTTCATCTTTGACACATATTGTTTGCTGATTGTATTATAAAATACTAGTAGAAAAAAAATTTGAACAAAACATATCATGTTAAAATAGAGGGACACCCTTCTCCAATATCTTCTAGAAAATCGTCATCTTCACAGCAATAACTGACATATTTAGCAATATCATCACCACAAATAAAAGCAGACTTAGAACTGGACACCATTTCGAAGCTTTAGGGCTACAACTTCATAAAATTGTAGTACCTGTGAAAAATTAGGCAGATAAATGCCAGCGGTCAATTTTAGAACTACAAACATTCGGCATCATAAGTAATCTGCACTTAGGTGCCATCTGTCAATAAAGAGTGAACTACAAGCATCTAATAGTGATACTGCAGGAGGAGCGCAATCGCACTCCCCAGCACTCTAGGGGTTAATGTGGCTGGTGCAGGCATTATTACCCTGTGGTAGATTATGTATTTGAGAGAGCAATTGTTTCCATACTAATACCAGCAGCTTAATCACATATGTTAACCCTATGATGTAAGATGAAACATTTTTTCCTCAATACAAGTTCCATATTTCTCAATATCACCAGCTATGTAGAGACTCCACCTGCCATTCGCCATTCCTTTTATCTTATATATCAATTCTCATTCTCTCAATCTTTATCTCTTTTTCTGCTCTTAAGTGCAATAATATGAGACCTCAATTTTTCTTGGTTCAGATTCTCATTTTTACTATTTTCTCTAGACTGTTTCTATGTTGGCTCTGCTTTCTCTGAAATTGTATGAGCAGCAACAGTGAGACACGTAAGTCAAGAACAGACTGATTTATATACTCTTAAGATTATAACTTTTTTCTAAATCACTATAAATTGCATTTTAATACACATGCCTCTGTGCGCACACGTGTTCACATTTTAACACTGCTGCCCTCTGAACAGATGCTATAGGGAGGGAGCTTTGTGCTAACTGCACCTAAATTTTTTTCTCTTGAAAAGCTACTAAAAAGTCATCTATATTCCTACTTTCTTTTTTTTTTAAATCTTCACTCAAGGAGTGAGGATATTTTTTCCATTGATTCTAAAGATAGAAGGAAGAGGAGAGGGGGAGAAGGAGTGAGAGAGAAACATCAATGTGACAGAGACACATCAGTTGGTTGCCTCCCACAAGCACCCCTACTGAGGGTGGGGATCAGACCTGCAACCCAGGTACATGCCCTTGACCGGGAATCGAACCGGAGACCCTCCAGTGCACAGGCCAATGCTCTCACCACCAGGGCAAAAGTCACCTATTTTCCAGAGCAGGTGAGATTATTGGCTTCGGCTCCCCTTTATCGAGGAACATGACTTAGTGAGCCAGAGTTAGACTGTCACTGGCCTTACTTAGAGGGATGACACAAAGCAAGGTTTTCTTTGAAGCCAGTGAGAGCCAAAGGCACAATGCAGTATCTCTGGAGTTTAGCATAACACACTGGTCAATGTGAGAGTAAAACATTATATCTCATGTGTACAGAACATCAGGTAACATTCAGAATGCGGCTCAACATTAACATTCCCAACACCAGACTAGCAAGAAAATCCTTAATGGAATTCTAAGTGAAACTGAGAATTTTCTTTCTTGTGGCTCAGCAAGGTTAATCCTTAGTTTTTTAAAAAATAGAAATTTATTGTTATAGAGAAAAACTTTATTTTTCACTAAAATTTTTTACCACTTTTAAAGAAAACTACCCCTAAAAAACTGTAATGCTAAATACACATGACTGTAGCTTCTTCGATCTCATCCCCAATTCTGAGATCTCTCCCTGTGGCTAAATCCAATTAAACTTTTCAGTCTTTAACTTAATGTGTGCTCAGAGTCTGATACTCTTCATCTCTCTACTCCCTCCTTCTTGAACTTCACACCTCCCCTGGCTCCCACACATCACATCAACCTCCTGACTTTCAAAATTCTCAAACCTTCCCTGGGGGCAACTCTTCCAAGGTGTGCCCCTTAGGACTGCCCGTCTCCGTTCTCTGCACCACTTCTTTCCTCTCCTCTTCTACACCATGGCTTCAACCACCACCTATATATTATACCCCCTTCGTGGATGTCTCATACGTATCCCAAACTCTAAATATTTACAACCATAAACTCAATAAATGTGAACTTATAAAATGGCAGAGAATATAATAAAATATTATTAAAGAAAACTTAGTTTATGTAGAGCAAGCATGTCAAACTCAAAGGCTAACACGGGCCAAATAAACGAGGCATGTGGCCCGCGGGCCGCGAGTTTGACATGCTTGCTATAGAGTATTGCTCAAGGCTTTTGAGGTTCATCATGAAGGAAAAATACAGCCTTCCAGAAGAGAGATCCCATCGATCCCTGGAGAATAGGAGACATGTACAGTACCTCTTTTATAATAATATCAAAGTCCCTGTTTAAAAACATTATAGTTATGCTGCCTCATTCTCCACCAGGTTACTTCCCTGTGCGTTAGCATCGATAGCGCCTATTCAGAGCCCACAGTGGGGGAGGGAGGTGACCAAAAGTGGGGTTATGGAACAATCCAGAACTTCCCAGGTATTCTTTCTAAATACCTCATCCTTCTTCATACATATTCTTCCTGTGCTAGCATAAGAAGAGCTATTTCAAAGCCCACGTGTGACTTACAGAAATAACCAGCATTCTCACTATACTCCCAAGACCTTTCTCCTCTCCATGCTTGAGAAAACCCCCATAAAGGAATAACTAGACTAATCAAAAGTTTGACTATTTCAGTGACTTCTATTTACTCCATAAAAACTGACTTTTAAAATACAGATCATAAAGGATGGCTGGGTTTTGTTCATCCTTGACCTTTCAATTGCTTTCACAAGTTCGAGACATTTAACTTTCATCTGCAAAGAAGCGACTGATCTAAAGAGAGTTAAAACATAAAACAGACATTTCCCTTTTACAGAAACAAAATGTAACCTTTAACACAGAACTTCACTCTAAAAGACTTAAGGTACCGCACTCACCTGTAGCTGGGATATAGTTAAAGGGTATCGGAATAATATCCAGGTGACACCTTCACTGCAAGGTGGAATAGTGAGCGAGCCTTCATACACCCAATAATCACGCAGCAGAGGATCTGTGCAACCACGTGGGCATGTCACACAAAGACAAGTTAATTAATCATAATTTTGAGACTCCCACAATAATTTTCAAAACTACAAATTGTCCAAATAACACTTCTCACACTGATGTCATTTTTAAACTAGAACCTTACGTGTATTCTTAACTAATCATCATTAAGAAAATAATTGATGGGAAACACGATGAGTCCTCCATTATTTATAGTGATTTCTATCCAAATATACTATATAAACTTGATATATAAACTTAATACATATACACTTGATGTGTACATATATGTAAAATTTAGTCACTTTAGCAAAAGTGTACCCATAGTTGTTGGGTTTTTTTTACTTTATTGGCGGACTTAGCTAATTACACCCAATATTTATTCAAAGCTTGCTACATGGGAGAAACTATTCAACATTAACTCATTTAACCCTTACAACAAACCAATGAGATAGTTCCTATTATTAGCATAACTTGTCAGATGGGGAAACTGAATCACAAAGGGTTACATAATTTGCCCAAAGTCATTGGGCTAATAACTGGCAGAGCCAGGATTCCAACCAAAGCATTCTGGCTTCAAAGCCAGTGTTTTTAACCATTCTGCTCTAGCTACTTCTATCTGTATTGCTTTTTTAACAACAACTTTTTAAAAGCATGTTATGATAGGATAAAATAAACTATTATTATGAAAATCTTTAGCTCTGTATTAGAGAAATTCATGATTAAATATGATGGGTAAATGTTTGGTTTGTTGTAGAACAGTGGTTCTCAACCTTCCTAATGCCGCGACCCTTTAATACAGTTCCTCATGTTGTGGTGACCCCCAACCATAAAATTACTTTTGTTGCTACTTCATAACTGTAATTTTGCTACTGTTATGAATTGTAATGTAAATATCTGATATGCAGGATGTATTTTCAGGGGTCGCTGTTGTAGAGCAATTAAATGTAGAAAATAGAAGATACGATGCATCAACCTATTTGGTTACATTTGAAACACCAAGAAATTTCACATAATTTGGGTAGAGATTTGTAAAGACCAAAATTTTGTACAAAATAGCCTTTAACTACAAATTATATTCTGAGTATTTTATACACAATCCCTACCTATTAGGGAAGACCTAAGTAATCAGAATTAATAGCTAAGTATCATTGGAAAGAGGTTACCTTATAAAATTAGATGTAAAGTTTATTTCACTCTATAGATTAATAAAAACTTCACTGATCAATTCTAGAAGTATACCAAGGTTACGTTATTATGCTGGTGCTTACACAGGGGTAGCAATTTTTACAAAAAGGAAACCCTTCATGATTAATGAAACTAGTGGTAAAGTATTTCAAAAGGTTTACTCCTGTGTTTAGGTAAGGGGTACCTACCACAGAAACCTTTATTAACTAGTAATACATAGTTATATATTCTGAGGAAAGCAATAAATGCATAGCCATAGTTAAAATTCATCTTTATACAATTCATCCATGTACACTTACCTGGTAATAAAGTGTTAGGATTAAAGCAGGGTATTATTTTAGACTTCCCCTAAAAAATAAAAAATATATATATCCCATGTTAACATAAAATGTCTTAATTTTACAATAAAAGAGTTATTAGCACTAAAGAAACCCAGTTGACATCTTTTCTAAAGGACATCACTGGACCCCACAGATTTGTGTCTCCTTCTATCTTCTCATTGGAACAACAGTGACTGGGTCCAACAAGACACTGCTGCTCTGAGTCTATGCTATTTCCTTTTCTACCACAGTTCAGTTTTCCCTGTAATTCCTGGTGTGAAATGTACAATTGCCTATCTAGTGTCTGTCTGTCCCGTCACCTACTTTTCCTGCTCCTAGCACATCCATACCAGAGACTTGGGCCTTGGAGTAAAATGCGTGAACCCTGGCTTAGGTAATTATTTTGACTTGACTTTCCTCCTGGTACTTTGAACTTGGCATCACAACCTGCCTCCCAAATTCTCATTTTGTCCCATTTGGACTTGGTATTTCAGCTCTTAGATCTCCTCCTCCAGAGAGAGAGATCTGTCACTCACATGAAAACATTCTCTTTCAATCCATTTTTATCAAAGCTAAATTTCATTTTCAAAGAAAATATTTGTCCCTGGCCGAAGTGGCTCAGTGGTTGAGTGTCAACCTATGACCCAAGAGCTCAAGGTTTGATTGCTGGTCAAGGCATATGCCCAGGTTGCGGGCTTGACCCCCAGTGAGGGGCGTGCAGGAGGCAGCCAATCAATGATTCTCTCTCATCACTGATATTTCTCTCTTCTCTCCCTTTCCCTTACTCTCTGAAATCCATAAAAATTTATTTAGGGGAAAAAAGAAAGTATTTGTGTCCTTATTCAATAGTCATATTAATGGCCAGTATTGTAAATAGTGCTATTTAAATTGCTCAGGCCTTTGAAGCAGACAGACATGTCACAGCAGTTGGATATCTCTTACAAGATTACTTTGTGCATGCAGACATAATAGAGAGAATTAATGCCTAACCTCTACATCTCCTCTTCCTCACTTTCAGAGACCCTTTGACTCATTAAAGCAGCGGTTCTCAACCTGTGGGTCGAGACCCCTTTGGGGGTCAAATGACCCTTTCACAGGGGTCGCCTAAGACCATCGGAAATCACATATATAATTACATATTGTTTTTGTGATTAATCACTATACTTTAATTATGTTCAATTTGTAACAATGAAAATACATCCTGCATATCAGATATTTACATGACGATTCATAACAGTAGCAAAATTACAGTTATGAAGTAGCAACGAAAATAATTTTATGGTTGGGGGTCACCACAACATGAGGAACTGTATTAAAGGGTCGCAGCATTAGGAAAATTGAGAACCACTGCATTAAAGAATCCAGCTTGCCCGACCGGTGTGGCTCAGTGGTTGAGCATCAACTGGTGAACCAAGAGGGCACATGCCCAGGTTGTGGGCTCGATCCCAGGTGGGGGGCGTGCAAGAGGCAGCCAAATGATGTTTCTCTCTCATCGATGTTTCTATCTCTCTATCCCTCTTCCTTCCTCTCTCTAAAAAAATCAATAAAAATATACGTATTTTTTAAAAAAAGAATCCAGCTTACTTGCCTCCCACCATCCTCCTGACTTATGTCATATTAGCTGAAGAAATACAGGAAAATTTCTCCACCAAATTTCTATCAGACAAATGTCAGTGAAAAATGTGTCCTCACACCCTTTTTTACCAGCTCCTTTGACTACTCAGTGCTTTCCCTTGGTGCCTGAATTCGTTCTGAGCCGCTCAGATCTCTGTGAGAGGCTCTTGTCTGGTTCAAGATGCAATGGGCTTGTGCTAGTGTAGAGCTAATCAGACTTCATTCCCAGATGGATTTCAGAATTGGCTTGGGTCGCCTCCAAGGCCACTGAATTCTATTGACTTAATGGAAGCATACAGGTACTGTTTACAACAGAACTTGGCTTCCCAGCAATGCTAGGCTGAGTCACTGCAGGGTCAAATCAATCTTCATCACCTTCTATGAAATACATTATCCTATGGCTTATGTGTACTTGTCTTTATTTTTCTTTTCTTTTTTTTACCTAAGTACTGTGAGGTAAGGTTGCCATAGTTTTTATTCGTTTTGTTTACACAACTTTCTGGGCGGAAAGTGTTCACCCAGCAGGCCTGGGTTGCTCAAATCTTCACATTTCAAAAAATGGCCTGTCTTCAACACTGGCCCTTGTCAATATAAAATTGTATGTCAACTGTAATGGAAAAGTAAAACAACAACACATTTTTTTCAAAAAAATATTTTTTAAAGAAATATCTGTTAAAAAAAAAAAAAAAAAAAAAAAAAGGCTGGCCCTTGGCTGGCTCTTGGCTGACCATCTCTGAGCCCTGGGAATATTCTGCCTTAAAAAGTGTTGTGTGTGCCGGAGGCCTTGGCCCATGTTGTACCAGTTTGACCAGATAAGTTGACTAATAATGTGACTTATGATGAATGTCTAGTTCAGCAGAGGGTCATGGTGGAAGGACTGGGGTCAGAATGGCTGAGGTCAGTCACACAGACATGCAGACCCTAGACACCAAGGTCAAGTAAGGTTCCCTGGTTGGCAATAAATACCTCATACGTGTTATGCCACATCACTCCTGGGAGAATAGGGGTGTCGCCATGCCACTCTACCCAAAACCTATGCCTGGTTTCTCCTGACTTATGCCCATGAGCCTTTCATTGCACTGGGTTTTCACCTGTTTCCTTCTGCTGCAATAGACCACAACCATGAGAATAACAGCTTTTCTGTGAGTCCATTTAGTGAATCCTCCAGCCTGAGGGTGGCCTTTGGAGATCGACCTCTTAGACAACCAGGATTTTTAATTTCTTTAAAACGGTGACTTACCTTATACTGAATATCCTGGAGGATTTCAGTCACAGCCTTTAGGCCTACATGTTCTTTTCCTATCTGAAATATATAAAGCATATGCTATTAACCACAAAAGTATTGAATACTTAGCTTTTGCTCAAAATAACTAATTATAGTAGTGAGGATCAAGTCCACTTGAATTTCCTTCTTGGGGAATAAATCAATGACCTTTTCATGAATAACCGGGGAAACATTCACTGAAGGTAACTGAAGCTGTAACAGAAGCTACAGCACAATCAAATATCAGATATGTTCTTGGAAATGTCCAAGAACCCATCTAAATTCATCATGCTGTGTACAAGGCTGCAAATATGTCAAATCATCTAACACAGCAATACAAAAGTTTCAAGGATACTTCTGAGTGAAAATTCCTCATCACATGCCCAAACCCTCCCATATTTACTAGTATATCTGACATGTCTAGATCATTATTATAAAGATTTTATCAACGTTGAAAAATTTCATTAACTCAGAAAAGTGGGTATGTGCTTTTATAGGCTAAAGTCACCAACATCAGGACATTTCTTGATTACAACTGCACATAATTTCTATAATCACCTTTGTATTCTCAAATAATAATATGCTGCTCATGACTTTTTATGTTAAAACATTATATATCATGACATCTTTTTCTTGTATGCAATGCTCCAAGGAACCTGAGACTTTAAAAAAAAATCTTACATTAAGTATTCTTGACTTTACATTTAAAAATTATAAGTGCAATCTGATTTCCACTTTTCAACCAAGTTTCACTGGCCCAGGATAATGGGACACCTTGATAGGGGAGAGGATCTATAATCTCAGAAAATCATTGCTATCACTCTTTTTCTCTTCCACCTAAGTTTCTAGGGAATGACCTCTACGGTGCCAGAATAGCTAGCAGCATGTTTGTATTCTCTGTTTCTCTCTATGTGAATCAACTGTGAAACATGCTAGTGGAAAGGCATCAAGGAGGAAAGAAAAGAGAGACGAAATCTGCACAATCTAAGATATGCCAATCAGTTAACAATAATTAAGACTTTACTTTCCAAGTGTTTGCCATTCCTGAGGTAGGCTCTAAAAACAGAAAATAAATTCTCTGGTGAAAAAAATACCTGAGGCAACTGAGTTCCTGAGTGCAAAAGCCGACATGGGCCCTCCTTTGTTTTAATGGTTTAACTGTGGTGTAGCATTTGGATGTCTGTGCCTAGAGCTGTTTTCATTTCCTGCATCTCCGTCACATGATAACTCCGAAGAGCCCGCATGTGAATGTTGAAAGGCCACATAAAGTAGTGGTTCAGGAGCAAGGTCATGTGGGTTGGATGCCTGAGTTCTGACTCTGACTCATTTTTCAGCCTTGAGCAAGTTTACTTAACCTCTATGCCTCATCTATACAGTGCGGAGGATAAAAGCGATGGGGTTGAAGATAAGACTAAACCAAACAGATACCTTAGAACAGGGCATAGTGCAAAGTAAGTCAATTAATATCACCCATATTGTTCTTACTCAGAAAGCCATACAGCATCAAGTACGTTCTTACATATAGCAGCACTCAATAACTATCACTGGCCCCTTCTGTCTATAGAGGTTCTTCACTTTGTGGGCAAAGCTTTGTATCCAGCCACAAACTCAAGCTACTATCCCATCTCTTTCCTTTCCTTCTCTGCCAGATTTTTATCTGCAGAGGTTATAAGCACCAAAAAGCAAGTACAGATGACACTCTGCACACCCCAACCCCTAAAATCTACAGTAACCGAGGTGACAACACACCTGGTGCCAAGAGTCCACCAGGAGCTAGGAGACCAATTCACTTCTTACCTCTCACCTTTTCCATCTTTCACCACCACCCAAAAGGCAAGCCCTCTGGTCACTTTCCTCTCCTGGAATTTCAGCTCTTCATTGCCTTGCATTTTTCCACCTCCCCTCATTTCCCACTAGGCCAGCGGTTCTCAATCTGTGGGTCGCGACCCCTTTGGCGGTCGAACGGCCCTTTCACAGGGGTCGCCTAAGACCATCCTGCATATCAGATATTTACATTACGATTCATAACAGTAGCAACATGACAGTTATGAAGTAGCCACGAAAATAATTTTATGGCTGGGTCACAACATGAGGAACTGTATTTAAAGAGCCAGAAGGTTGAGAACCACTGCACTATGCCCTCTGAGATAGGGTAATTCCGCATCTTTGACAAGCTCTTCTACCACCTCCTGGTCTATGTGGACGCCCTCGGGTCCACACAAGGTCACAGCTCTCCCAGGCTTGGACTGGACACTGTGCAGCTCCCTCACATGAGACTGAAGCTGTGGTCAGTGCCCTGGCTGCTACCGTCAGGCCCATACGCATAGGCTGTCCTCTGAGTGGACCATCTGCCACTGTCGCTACCATTTTCTTCTTGTCATTTACTGACGCACTGGTCACTCCCGCGCAGTCATCACCCCCTGCCTTCACTCTGGAGGACTTCATCATCCACGCTAGTGACCCGTCCCCTCCTGGCATGTTTCTTTACCCTCAGCCCCATCCTACCTCTGCAAACCACCCTGGGAACGCACCCTGGATTTGTTTTCACTCTGAAAACTTCTCACCTGTCCAGCTCTCCCCTCTTGCCTCTCTTCCCATTAATGGAGCGCAAGGAGCCAACTCTTAGGAGACTCTTGGTTTGGTCTCCTTCCCTTCCTGTCTATACTGACTGACATCTCTGCAAACACTCTCCATTTTCTAATCCTTTTGTCCTCCTGAATCATCTGCTATGTAACAGATCAGTGGAACAATTTTCTAGAATCCTCTGCTCCTCTACCTGGATTGAGAACCATCCACAGTACACTGTCCTGTACAATCTGAGATAACCAGGCTCATGTGGGTCTCCCACACCAACTGTCAAGTCTATTATCATTCTTCTTTGGGCTATTCCAAAACCCAATTCCAAACCCACATTTCCTTTGCTCTATAAATAATTTTGCTTTCCTTTCTCAGAGATAATAAAGGTCATCAGGCATGAACTTCCCTAATTTCCTTCCTTTTCCACCTACAAATTCATCCCCTTTCTACCCACCTCTTCCTTTGGGCCTCTATTTTGAATAAAGGGCGGTTACCCAAGGTTAGTCCATATACATATGCCATATGCTCTCCATCCCATGCCCTCCTGCCCCCTCCAGGACTTTCCTATGTCCATTATCCCCTTTCTTGCCAGTATTTTTAAACCTTACACCCTCACTACCTCTTTTTGCTCAGAATAAAAACACAGGCAAATCTCAAAAATGAAACAAACGGGCCTTCACTGTACATCCCCAAGTTATTATCCCTTTTGTCTTTCTTTTCTTGAGTCAAACTCCTCGAAAGGGACATCTATACTCACTGCCCTGAGTCCCCTTTCCCCCATTTTCTCACCCAAGTGTGACACCCTGGGTGAACTACAGTCCCTCTCCTCTCTGCTCCAACTAACAATCCTTATCAGTCCTTTTTTCCTTCATGAAATTTTGCTTTCAAGTTTGTGTAATTTTACTTTCTCCTGAAAGGCACTGTCACAGAGATAACCAGAATTTTTCCTCACAGCAAATGTATGGAAAGTTAGAACAAGTATGCATGCTCTCAGACTTCCCCTTGCCTCCAATATTGAGCGTGTTCCTGGAAATACTCATGCTGGTTTCAAAAGTCTTGGCTTTCCACCCAATGCTCTAACTGTGCCTTCCCTTCCGTATATGACCCCTTGGTCATTGGTATTCCTACTTTTATTTTTTTTAAAGAATGAGACACTGAAACAACAGAGTGGAAGAATGGTTTCTGGTGCCAACTGGTGACATTAAATCGCTGTGTGACTATAAACACTGACTTGACCTCTCTGGCCCTTCATTTCTCTTCTGTAAGATAGAGGAGGAAGAAGGCTAAAATGTCCAGGGTTTCCTTCACCTCTAAGTCTTCTTTCACATCAAGTATATAATACGACAAAGTTAAAAAGATTCATCTTAGGAATTAGATTCATTTGGGGGGTATATTTTTTGTTTTGTTTTTATAACTTTATTTTTATATTTTTATTTTTGACACAACTACACATGTCCCTACCCCCACACCCCACTTTGCCCACTGCCTCTGCCCCTCCTTCCCTCTGGCCATCATTCACCTTCGATTAAATTTTTACCTCTGAAAGCATATGGTCCACTTTTGTACATTTCACTCAATTTATATAATATACTTTGTCCACCACAGAGATCAAATCCCAACTTTATATTAACTATATCTATCAAGGTCTTTGCCCGTCTTATTTTATCCATGTTTTCTATAAGGCACTTCAAATCATCTCGGAGTGAAAATTATTAATAGCAAAGAACAAAAGAAATCCACTACAGGATTGCATTATTGATTTTTCTTAGATTTTGCAGTAAGCCAGAGTCCACAAATATTTTCAAATTCTTTTTCCTCTGCTTTCAGAACACATTTTTTAAATCATTTCTCCCAAGGCCCTCAATGGCACTCTGAAAAAAATATCTAACAAGTAAATGAACCAGTTTCTACTAATGACTATGACTGCTCTCTCATGACCCGCAAAGACCAAGTTCCCTACTTTTAAATTGCCAGTGTTCTCTGTACATGTGTTTAATGTCACCACTACTAAAATTTAAGGGAGACCAACAAATACTCTGGGTCCCAGTTCAAGATGGCAGTATAGAAAAACCCTGAGCTCATCTCCTCCCACAAACAAAAACATCTACAAAAGACCCCAAACAGCAATCTTGAGAAAGGAGAACAAAGCTAGAGATATCATGCTTCCTAATTTCAAAGTATACTACAAAGCTAAAATAATCAAAACAGGATGGTACTCATACCAAAACAGACACGTAGACTAAAGGAACACTGTAACGAGCCCAGAAATAAACCTACATATATGGTCAATTAATCTACGACAAAGAAAGCAAGGATAGACAATGGAGAAAAGACAGTCTCTTCAATTGACAGTGTTGGGAAAATTGGACAGCTACATGCAAAAGAATGAGACAGAACCACTTTATTATGCCGTATACAAAATGAACTAAAAATGTATTAAAGGCTTAAAAGTAAGACATGAAACCATAAAACTCCTAGAAGAAACATAGTCAATAGACTCTTTGATATCAGTCATAGCAATATTTTTTTTTGGATCTGTCACCTCAGACAAGAGCAACAAAAGCAAAAATAAATGGGACTATATCAAACTAAAAACTTTTTGCACAGTGAAGGAAACCATCAACAAAACAAAAAGTCAACCTATTGAATGGGAGGAGATATTTTCAAATATATCCAATAAGAGGTTAGTGTCTAAAGTATACAAAGAATGTATATAACTCAATATAAAAAAAAATATGATTTAAAAATGGGGAGATGATCTAAATGGGCATTTTTCCAAAGATAACATACAGATGACCAACAGGCAAATGAAAAGATACTCAACATCACTAATCATCAGGGAAATACAAATCAAAACAACCACAAGATACCACCTCACACCTGTCAGAATGGCTATTATCTAAAAGATAATAAATAACAAGTATTCACAAGAATGTGGACAAAAAGGAACCCTTGTACACTGTTGGTGGCATTGTAAATTGGTGCAGCCACTACAGAAAATAGTATGGAAGTGAAAGGGCGAGGACTACGCCCTCCATCTTACCCTGGGTCCTCCATTTTTGGGCAGAGCCATGTGCTCAGCAAGGCTTCTTCCCGGAAGCCCAAGCCTCTGTTAGCCACACCCAGGATTTCTCTGGACTAACCAATGATAATCAAGGGAAGTGCACGCCATGGAGATGACCACATCCTGTGTAACAAGACACCGACTTGCACCTGGCCAATCGGCAGGACCCACAGTCACCTCTCCACCCCCCTATAAAACTCCTCGTTCCCTCGGGCTAGGCCTCTCTCTGCCACCTGCTGCTGTGTCAGTAAGGAGGGTGGGGGAGCCAGACCTAGGTTTGAAATAAAGGACTCTTTGCTTTGGCATCGGACTCGCTGGCTCCCTGGTGGGCTCTTGGGAATCTTGAAATCTGGGCATAACAGGAAGCTCCTCAAAATGTTAAAAATAGAACTACCATATGATCTAGCAATACCACTTCTCGGTATATATCCAAAAAGAAATGAGAACACTAATTAGAAAAGATATGCAACCCTAATTTTACTGCAGTATTGTTTACAATAGCCAAGATATGTATGCCAACTAAGTGACTATTGATAGATGAATGGATAAAGAAGATGTAATATATATTATTAAACACACACACAGGAATATTACTCAGCCATAAAAAAGGATGAAATCTTGCCTGGCTGGCATGGCTCAGTGGTTGAGCATCAACCTATGAACCAGGAGGTTGCAGTTCAATTCCCAGTCAGGGCACATGCCTGGGTTGCGGGCTCAAATCCCCAGTGTGGGGCATGCAGAAGGCAGCCCATCAATGATTCTTTCTCATCATCTCTCTCTCTCTCTCTCTCTCTCTCTCTCTCTCTCTCTCTCTCCCTTCATCTCTGAAATTAATAAAAATATATTTAAAAAAAAAGAAATCTTGCCATTGGCAACAACATGGATAGACCTAGAGGGTATTAGGCTGAATAAAATACGTCAGACAGAGAAAGACAAATACTGTATCATTTCACTTATATGTGAATTCTAAAACAAACAAATAAAACAGAAACAGGCTCAGATACAAAGAACAAACTGATGGTTTTCTGGGGGCAGAGGGGTGGAGGTATGGGCAAAAAAGGTGAAGGGGATTAAGAGGTACGCTCTTCCGGTTAGAAAATAAATAAGTAAGAAGGGTACAGGATACAGCATGGGGATACAGTCAATATTACTGTAAACATTTTGTGTGGTGACAGATGATTATTAGAGACTTATCATGGTGATCATTTCGTAAGTATATATATATCTTGCAAAATGAATTGGAAACAAGCATTTGAACAATTCAACAATCATAGGAGACCATTTACCTGAACAAACAAAGCGATGATGGCGATTCCATGCGGCTTCCCCACAGCCTCGTCAATACTGCCAAACAGGGTGGAGTTCCAGTGGATCAGATGCAACTGGGTGAGCAACAACAGACAGGTGGCCTCGTTACTTAATGTCCCCCCCATAGAGGAAAACAAAGACAGACCAACTTTCCGTAACCATGTGTATATGGTGTCATAAGCAACAAGAGTATCACCAAGAGACACTAATAGATTACTGCCTTAACACAGCAATTCCCCTGTAGGAATTTCTTCCTTCTTACTTCTGAGCAGAAGCAATGCTTAGTGGCTTGCTGCCTCTCCAGTTGTGCTTCAGTCCTAATCAGGACCACATCGAAGGAGACTGGCAAATTTCCCACTGATTTGGTTGCCTTTCTTTAAATGTCATACCCTCTGGATCTCAATGGTACAAACACTAGAACTCAAAGGATTAGTACCTGCAGTATTTCCATCAAGAATAAGGCAAAGCCTGCCTCAAATTCTGGTAAATTATTTCAACCTTCTAAGCCAGGGGTGGGGAACATCCGGCCCAAGGGCCACGAAATAATTTGGTCTGGCCCTGCCAAGACATTAGGGGTGATTTCATTAAACGTATGACAAAATGTAGCAGGCTAATTTTTAAGTTGATAATTTTGTATGGCCCGTGAATAATGTTATAAATATCCAAATGGTCCTTGGCAGAATAAAGGTACCCCACCCTAAACATATCCAAAGATAGGATCCATAAAAAAAAATACTGCATCTTTTTAAAGCCATGGTGAAATAAAAAATGCTGATGTGGAGCTCTAAAAGAAGGCCATTTCCGGCAGCGGAGATAAAGTTTAATCTGTGAAGGAACGACAAACAATGCTCAAGAGGACTCCCTCACTCCTGGTCTCATAAAGCTTTGTAGCTTTCAAGTTTATCTAGAATATGCACTTGTTCCTACAGCCTGACAAAACACTTGCAAGAAGCCAAATTCAATTCCCTGGCTAAAATTAAATGGCCACTGAGATTCTTAGTATAATAGTATCTAGGTAAGCCTCTACCTAGAATACTATCTTCGTCACTCTAGCTTTTAATCATAATTACTTACCACCTTAAAATACTGCCTCATTTAAAAATTAGTTCTAATCCAAAAATACATAGCTACAATTCAATCACCATGCCATTTCAGCATCCATATTAAAATATTATGGGAAATTATCATGAGGATTGCCACAAATTTGGTGGGTTTTTTCCTAAGTTTGTCCAAGATTCTGAAATTATAAAGCTGACCACCAGAGGGAGGTAATGAAGTCTTCTGCCCACATGTAATAGAAACGGTAGCCTAGGAAAAGACTACTAGTATACCCAAGGTAAGGGGAGGTCAGGCTCTGAAAAATCCACAAGGACTATGACTGCCCAATAAATTTAACTGTCAAGGCACTGCCTTTAAGAAAACAATGTTTTATAACCTTTCCGTTAATAATGAAAGACCAACCAATTTTAATCTTTCCTTTTCTGGCTGCAACAATAGCATAGCCGTCCCAGTGGTACAGATAAGTGTACAGAGGTATAGATAAGAACTGACTGCCTTAGTTAAATCAACAAAGAAGGCCCAAGGTTGAAATCTAATTTTATTCGACAAATTACAAAGTTCAAATCAACATTTTTCTTACTTCTCATAGCCACATTATGGGGTATATTTTCTGATACAAAACAAATAAATCAAAAAAGAATGGTCTCTTTTTTTTTCTTTTTTTGTCACCCCTCACAATCCAGCAACATCATCACTCACACCAACTCTTCAAAATCTGGTGCACATTTTTTGTGTGTTTGAAAATGTAGGGGTACCCACTCCATAAGTGTGTGCTGCACATGGTGACTTCATTTCCAAGAGTGTAGTATAGGCCTGGTGGGGTGGCTCAGTTGGTTGGAGCATTGTCCCATACACCAAAAGGTTGCGGGTTTAATCCCCAGACAGGGTGCATACCGAAGGCAAATGATCAATGTTTCTCTCTCTGTATCCTCTCTCTCCCTCCCTCCACCCCCTTTGTCTCTCTCGAAATCAATAAAAACATAACCTTGGGTAGGATTTTTTTTTTAAAAGAGTATAATACAGAAGAGTAACTTTACAGTGGAGAAATCTGACAAATGCTACCTGAGCCAGGTGATCAAGGTCAACATCAACAGTTATCAGTCATGTTGCTAGTACCAATGGTTAATTCAATTACCAAGCAAACTTCTGACACATTCTGGAAACGAGCTGTAACCTGTGTAAATACTATGTATTTAATTATATGCAGTAGTAACTCAGATGCGCAATCCACAAACATAATAACACTCTCCAGTTTCTTGTCTCTCAGCGTTAGCTCACTCTGTGCTCCCCGAGCTCTTCCTCACTCCACCTGTCTGCTAGGGCTGCCCAAGTACCACACACTGGGTGGTGCAAACAACAAATAGTTCGTTTCCTCACAGTTCTGGGGGCTGGAGTCCAAGATCAAGGTGTCAGCAGGTTTGGTTTCTTCTGAGGCCTCTCTCCTTGCTTGTACATGGCTGCCTTTTCCTTGTGTCCTCATGTCGTCTTTTCTCTGGGCATATCTATGTCCAAATTTCCTCTTTTTATAAGGACACCAGTCATACTGGATTAGGGCCCATCCTAACAACCTCATTTTGACCTAATTACCTCCACAAAGATCCTGTCTCTAAATATGGTCTTCTTCTGATGTACTAAGAGTTAAGACTTCAACATATGAATCAGCGGGGAGCACAATTCAGCCCAAACACCATTTATCTCACCTTTTCCTCACCTTAATGAAGCTTTTCAGATCTCAAAAGCTTAAATTGTTTACATCAATTTCTGCACTCCCACAGTCCCTTCTTCCTATCATCTTGTATTTTGCCTTATGTTAGTGTTGCTCTGTTCCATAAAGCAAAGCCATGTAGATACAGAAAAATGATCAGTGCATTTGAATAACTAGAGTAGCTTGTGGGTAACTAAAGGGTACGTAAGGCTGGCAGTGACAGGAAAGATGAGGCTAGAAAGCTAGAGGGGTTCAGATTGCACAGAGCCTTCAATTTTATCATGACTGTGTTTTGGGAATCACGAAAGTAATATTGCAGTGAATATTATCATTACTTATGCTGTTTAGACCCAAACAAACTCCCCATACCAATGTCTTTCCTTCAAAGGTCCTTCTGGCAGTGTGGGGGTGAACTGGAAGTGTGAGACCTGGGAGGCTACCACAAAAGTTCCATGATAGGGGTGTGGGATGGTTCATTTTATGTGCCAACGTGGCTGGTCTACAGTGCCCAGCTGTTTGGTCAAACATCTGTCTCAGGGGTTCTCAACCTTCTGGCCCTTTAAATAGAGTTCCTCATGTTGTGACCGAACCATAAAATTATTTTCATTGTTACTTCATAACTGTAATGTTGCTACTGTTATGAATCGTAATGTAAATATCCGATATGCAGGATGGTCTTAGGCGACCCCTGTGAAAGGGTCGTTCAACCGCCAAAGGAGTCGCAACCCACAGGTTGAGAACCGCTAGTCTAGATGTTGCTATGACGGCATTTTTTTTAGATATAACCTTTAAATCAGTAAACTTTGAGTAAAGCAGGTTACCTTCCATAACATGGTTGAGGTCCCCCAAAGGAGAAGCAATTCTACCTCCAGATAATAACATAAAAATTCCACCTCAGCTTCTAGTCCAGGAGTGGGCAAACTTTTTGACTCGAGGGCCACAATGGGTTCTTAAACTGGACCGGAGGGCCGGAACAAAAGCATGGATGGAGTGTTTGTGTGAACTAATACATGTTAACACTGCTGCTGGTGAAGGAGCGGAGGGGAGAGCAAGAGAACCCTCCGCTCTTTCGGCTCCGCGGGCCGGATAGAACAGCCGAACGGGCCGGATCCGGCCCGCGGGCCGTAGTTTGCCCACGGCTGTTCTAGTCTATGGCCTGCCCTGAAGTTTTCAGATTTGCCAATTTCCACAATCACATGAGCCAGTTCCTTAAAATAAATCTTAATTTGTCATCTCTCAATAAATAGATAGGTAGATAGACACAGACATAGATATAGACAGACATACATAGACGTAGACGTAGACATAGACATAGAAGTAGACATAGACCTGTTTAGATATATATCTGTTTCTCTGGAGAACCCTGACTAATACAGGTTGTGCAAACAAATTTTAAAAAGTATAAAGATGAATGGAGATTTTAATCTGAACAAGGCTAGTAGCAACAGGAATAAAGACATGGCTCTAACAATTAAAATTACAATATTTGGAATTCATTCTCCTAACAGTAAACACGGTTCTTTTAGGGAAGGGAAATGGGAACACAACAATCCACTGATGATCAGAAGGAACATATTAGAACTTTTACTGACGTTTATTTTTATCCAAAGCCTTTTGTATTTCAAGTTTCCTATGCTTCATAAAGTAGATTTGATAGAAAGTAGATATATAAAGAGAGAGATAAATGATAGAAAGAAAATACATATTAGTTCATGAATGTAATTTATTTAAAAATATAGACACACTAGAGGCCCAGTGCACGGGATTCGTGCACTGGTGGGGGGCGTGGACTGTGGGGATCAGCCCCCTGTGGGAGCGCCGCTCATTCAGGTCAGCCATGCGGCTGTGGACCCACCCTCTGAGCAGCTGCTCCCTGATCCGGCATCTTCCATGGAAACAGAGCACTCGCCTCTCCAGGGAACCCAGTCAAGGCCGGGCCTAGGGACAACAGCACTGAGAGGCAGCGGAGTAGGCCTCAGTCCCGCAGCGGCCATGAACCCGCCTCCCAGCCTCTGAACTTGGCCCCCAGCCTCCAGGGTCAGCTCTATGAGCCCAGTGGCACTGCATGGCCTATGGGCATCCAGAGGTGGCAGCAGGGAGCGAGGAGGAGGAGGAGGAGGAGGAGGAGGAGGAGGAGGAGCCGGAGCCGGAGCCGGAGCCGGAGCCTGGGGCGAGGAGACAAAGATTGCAGCCCGGGTTCCTACCCATCAGCCTGGGGTTTGTAGCGGGAGCAGCCGCTCATCCCAGTCAGCCAAGCGGTGCTCCCACTGTGGGAGCACACTGACCACCACGGGGCAGCTCCTGCATTGA